CGTTGTTGTTGTTGTGGGGAAAATAGGGGAGGAAGGAGTATTAGGTATGTTTGCAGCCCTGAGTTATTTAAAAAAACAGGATAAACGAAAAACAAATGGAGGAATGTCCGAGAATTCTGCCTTCATTCCTCAAAATCAGATACTTTCCAGGGCTCCAGTTGAGCCAGTATGAGTTCAATGATCCTTTAGGGCATGTAATCCATTTTCTGTATATAATTCTATCTGCTGTTATCAAATGTAATTAAGGTGTGATATTCCTGAACTTGCTTATCAGTTGCTTATCGGAGAATCCACAAAGGACTGGAGGTGGGTAATGCATTCTTCTGAGATAATTAATTTTGGTATTGGGGAAACACATATTTTGTTTGCCCCTGATGAATTTCAGAGTTCTAGTCTAGCTCTGAGTGAAGGGGGTTGGGGGGGGGAGATTTTCCATAAGGAAATTTCTGGCATTGTCTCTCTGACAGAACCCAGCAAAGAGAATGGAAAGAATTTAGGAGGTGGTTGATGTTTGTCAGGAGTGGGGGACCATTTTACTCCAAGGGGCTGCATACCAACAGTTAGGAGAGCCAAAGCACATCCATCTGCATTGCACAAACATATAATGTTCATGTACGTGCATTTGTATATCACTACAACTCAAGCAAAGTCATTGGCATTCCACACTGTCCCTCTGTTTTCCTTTTTCTGCACACTCTTCTACTTATTTACTTACTACTTCTTTAGTATCCTTCTGTCCAGCCACACTTCTGTCAGCCAGCCTCATTCCCTTTACCCATCTACCCATCTCCTCTGTCACACACATCCATACAACACACAGACCCACAGACCCACACACATACACACACGCAGAGGCTACATACATATAAAGCAGGCTTTCACTGCAGTTTAGCTGTTTTTCAGTCAGCCTGATAGCATGGGAGAAAGAGATTGTGAGCAAATGGTTTAAATTTAACTGAGAGCATCTCAATGGGCTTGAGTGGTAGATCTCACAAGTGGTTCCCTGACCTTAAACAGGCAACAACCAGGACAGCCAACTGTGACACAGTGTAAGTATACAACACACCCAGATGTCAGCTCTCCCCATCTCTATACAAGCAATCCTATTACAGGGCTTAACAACATCAGTCCCACAACATCCAGTTAGTTCATCAGTTCATCTTCTGATTTATCTTATTATCTAACAAAAATGCATTTCTCAGGGCCTTTTAAAGATGTTAAGAGGCCCAGGGACAGAATATTTATTTGAGCAAAAAGCCCTCTCCTTCCCACCCCCAGCTTCCTTCTTTTCCCTATATCCTTGTTCAAAGTAAGCTTTCTTCATTGTTTTTTGTCCACTGATATCAGTATCCCAATAAGGAAGACTGTGTGGGCCCACCTAAGTATTGAAATAAATCTTGGTTTTATATGTTAATTGATTAGTTCCTCTCCTCTCCCCTTTAAAAAGATCCTAACCTTTCTACATTCAACAAAAAGGTCAACCTATGTAAAAGAATAAATAGGCACAAATTTGCCATCCGAAAGTCAATATTCAGAAATCAATGGGAATACTTTTTAGGTGTCATCTGTTATTGAATTTAAAGTGGCCATCACAATATAAATTAAATGAAAACATTGAAGTAGAATAGCTGTATCAGTTCAACTGTGCATCTGCAAAGGATATTTATTCTGCTACTGGTGTTAATTAGCTCATTAATGATAGGAGGTTTGTATTTTTATCAACACTGCTTTGCGAATGGGGACTGTAAAGATTTTAAATGCCTTCATTTAACTGTTAGAGTAATGATGTTGCCTATACACTTTAATTTTCCTTTAACATTGCTGCTTGCAGCTCCCCATCTCCTATCATGTCTGTATACATGAACAAATATTTCTGGTTATCTAGGGAAACACTTCAGACATCTAATGAAATGGACTGTAACCATGAGTTCTTACCATAAATAATTTATTAATCTTTTCAATGCCAGTGGATTGTTGAAAGGAAAAACTCATGGAAAATGGTCAAAAGCAATGCAAAAAGTAGTTATGCACTCTTTGCAAGAGCTACTCTCATTTCTCTGCTTTTTCCCTTGTCCAGCCAATCTTGAATAAATAATTTACAAATGGGTACAAATCCAGCCCCCCAAAAGATGCTCCCAATAGCGAGCTCCATCATTCTTTTTCAATGTACTTTTAGTTTCTTGAAGGAAGGAAGGAAAGGCTACTATCTCCTTGAGCTGAAGGGTGAGGTTATCTGGTTATCATGCTGCTTTGCAGGTAAAGCTGTGGCCCCGAGTCTGAAGATGTTGGCCATCACTAGCCTATTTTTCAGAAAAACCTGGTGCCAAGACTTATCTTGTTCTCACCATTGTGACCATCCCCCAAATTGAAGCTAGAATCAACATCTACTCACTTAAAGTTTTCTGGTCTTTGTCCAATGAATACAGCTACCAAAGGGGATAGTGTGACAGACAAGAGTAAAATCCAGCCAACGAGGAAAGCCAACTTGCAGAGGAATTTGAAGGTCATGCTCCATTGGTAAAGTAGAAAGATCACAATTGGTATGAAGGTGAGTAAGAGAAGATCCATTGTTGCTGGGATAAAGGTGCAGATAAATATGGAGGAACAATAATACTACAGAAGGTAGCCAGATATTCCAGGGTGGAGAAAGGGGATGGCCCTTCTATAGAAATTGCAGGCTATCAATTAGTGTTAGATGTGGGAAGGATAAAGGAGGGACGTTGACACAGAAATGTGTCAGCAGAGAGTGTGGGAGGAAATGCTTTAGAACTGTATGTGCTACGTATTCTGGAATATGAGAAGTAGTCGAGGTGTAGTAGAAGTAGGATGAACCACAACACAATTAATCATTCTGAGTTTGTGCCATTTTTTTTGACAGGCAGTCTCTTGCTGATAAAAACCAGGACTGTGTTTTCAATATTGGTTTTTGGGTTTTTTTTTAGCCTGGAGACTTATCCAACATTTTGATAAGAGGAATTATAGATATTGAAGTTTGGAATAGAGAGGGACGGGCAGTGGTGCTCTGTTGGGTGGGTATCTTTTGGTGAGGCATTTAAAAAAATCTATTAGGCACCCTTCTGAAAGGAATGGCTTGTTTCTGATGGCCATTTCTAATAGCTGGAAGGGTCCAGAGCCAAGGACAGGAGGGATCAGCAACTTTTCAGGACATGTGTTCCAATATATGTTCTTGTGCAATGTTATTGATGACTACAAATAGAAATTAATAAAAAATATTACTCAAACCCTTTCACTTGCTACTAGTTGTGCACAAAATATTACATTGGACATCTAAAGCCACTGTTGTTAAAGAGATACAGTACAGCAAGTTTTGTGAGAGGACTCTTCTCCAGTCACTAGGTAAAACTATACAGTTTAACTTAATTGACTTTAAGGTAGCCATTGTTTATTAAAAGATTATGATATTCTTAAGTTTCTGTTCTGCCAAGTGAAGGCACTAATGTATTTTAATACTGAAGCCCTTTCTTACAAGATGCACGTGTATAGTAAAATGTGAAAGCATTCAGGAGAATGTTTTGCTTGGACAAGATTTCATCTGTGAGCATCCTTCTGGTCTATGTTGATGACATGGTAACTAAAATCAAAGAGCCCAAGGCTCAAGAGAGATGGGAGGGGGTAGCAGCAAAGTGGAAACAAACAGCAAGGGATTATTTAGGGGCAAAACTGGTCAGGACAGCCATGCATGTGAACATTGGCTAGGGTGTGAAGCTCATTTTACTGCTTAACCAAGTGCCCTGTTAAGAACCAACCTGGCACAGGATTTTAGTTCAAATTTTTTGTGGCCATTTCCATCCTATGATAATATTAAAAGAGCCCCCATGTCAAGCCACTGGAAGTTCTACATCTCATAGCATCGGAAGCCAGTCTGTTCTTGGAAAGAGGTAAGAGGTAACCCCATATAATAAGGAAAAGGATCCCTAGTTTTTCTTAACACTTCCTTCAGTAGGAGGACATTTATTTGGTTGACATAATAGATACCTCTGCAAACTCTATCCTCTCTTCAAACATAAAATTTAAAAGCCTTGTAGACAGGAAACTGACATTCTGCTCTGCTCCAAAGATTCTAGGCAGTAACATCCAGATTACTACTATTTACTACTACTACTTATTATTAGGGATTTCAAAGTTCAGATTTATAGGTACTTAGAACAATTTATCAGACATTATTGCTATAAAATAGAAGGTGTGATTCATTGATATGGCAAGACCTGGAGAAAATAATAATAAATAAACTGTCATACCAATTGGAATTGGGTCTATTGGTGCAATAGCAATAAGATTCATCAAATATTTAGACATTTTAAACTTTTACTAGACTAGAAACCACTAATTTTGCAAAAGCCTACTAATCTAGCCTACTTGGAACAACCAGTTGATTAGACTGTGATATTCATTTGGATGAATAGAATTAAACAACAATATAATAAAAAGCTGAAAATAATCAAACATAAATAGATGTTAAAAACAATCTCAGGCACTGTTGTTGAACTCTTTAAAAAGCTAGGGCTTCATTGTTCTGGGAAGAGACAGGAGTAGTGGAACCCTCCATATGGATCTCTAGGTGTAGCAGATTCTACAGAAATGTAGCAGCTATTAAAATGTCTCTGCTGGGCCCATCTGTCTTTAACCTACCAAGCAGGGGTAACCCAGAGCATCCCCTTCTAGGCTGATCAAACAGAGTAGACGGATTATGTCTGGAGTAGGCTGTCCTGCAGATAAAAGAAGAAGAATGGCAATCAGAACTGCGTTGCAGGATCAGATCAGGATTCATCTGTTTGCAGCCAAGTTCCCTAGATATATTTGCAGATGCTCTGTTTCCAAATAATTTCAACATCCCTTACATTTCAGATGAAGCGGCTATTCACTCTTCAGGATTAAATAAAAGGAAGCTGCTTCTTATCAGTGTATTGCATCCAGTAATCTTGACTGTGTCAAAACCTGTCTTTACAGTGTCACAGTAAACATATATTGGTAACCATCCATTATCACAACCCAAGTGTGACCTATGATAAAATATTGCAGGGTATCTGCCTCTTCCCCCAGAGGACTCCTGTTTTTCAGGAACTCAAACAGGGCCAAAACTGAAACCATGCATCCTTTTCTAACTTTGAACACAAAAAGGGGCAAATATGTGACTGATTCTCCCCCCCCCCCCCCGCCTAAAATGGCAGTCAGTGCAATAGTCTTTTGGTTAAGACTGTGGAAAGTAACAGGCCTGATATAAGACCATTTTCTATGTTTTTAGAGGACAGGAGAGTGCAGGTTTAATACTTACAGTAATGTTGTAGCTATAGAGCAGTAGGTATATAAATGCAGAGGTTTCTGCTGATGGGGGCAAAGGGAAATACTTCCTCTGTCCTTCCTTTCCTGAAGCAGCCCAGTAAAATGCAAGGAGGGTGGTTTTTTAACCGTATGGCCTACAGTTGTTAGGAGTCTGAGCAGGCCATATTCTCATTTGTGGCATATTCAGATTGGAAAATGTTGCATCACATCCTGATGGATAGCTTAGACCCTCAGAAAAATAGAACAGTGAGATGGTCACTTCAAGAGGCTGACTTTTAAAGTATTGGACATATGCCACCAATAAGAACTTGACTCCTGGGGACTCCATGAACATATCCATGCATTTTGGAAGTGGTTTGCCATTGCTTCCTTCCATGGCATCTTGTTTTGCTTTGTTGTACTACTTAGTCCAGCCTACATATTCTCCAATTGGAAGTGGTCTAAAACAACTTCATTAGGAAGATTTTGGGCCTCCCCCAGGGCACCCCTGCTGCCTATTTAAGGATGGAGGTAGGGCTACCTTCTATCCTGTTAGAATACATCTTGCATGGTTGGGGCACTATAACGAACTTGAAAGCCTTCTTCTTTCTCATCTTGCCAAACTCTGTTTTCTCCATTACACAGATGGGAATCAATGGACCAACCTTTGGTCACCCATCCTTCAAATCCATTCCCTACCACCTTTGGGAGAACTTAGCTCTTGGAACAGAGAAAATATTAGAGATAGGCTTTTTGAAAGGGATGCCAATAGATGCCACTACAGTACAATCATCCAAATTTTCATCTTGGTACCATCATTATAAAAAAACATAGCAGCTTCTCCTAGTACCCGGTTAACATAACCACTGCTTCACTGAGAAGGGCTTTAACTTCCCTTTACCTGCAGACCATGCCCTCTGCACATCTCAAAGGGAGGTTTTGTAAGGTCCCTGTTGAACAATATCTCTGCCCTTGTGATATTGGTCAAGTGGAGAACATTATCCACTATGTCCTCCACTGCCCCGTTTACAATGAGATCAGGGCCAAATTGCTGATGGCAGGTGAACTCAAGGGCTCAGACCTCGAAAAATTAGTTCAATATCTTCTTGCAGACATGTTCCCAACTGTCAGCAACTAAATTGCTACTTTGGCTCTGCTGTCATTTAAACTTAGAAATAAATGTTTACGTTCTTAGCAGTAGCTTTGGCTTTGTTTTGCTGTAATCTTTTAACATCTAATACTCTTATTACTTTATTTTGCAATCTTACTATTTTACTGTTATTTTTTTGTATTTTATAGTACGCTGTATGTTATGACCTGTGGTTACCACAATAAATTTGCTAACTTACTAGTCTAGTATTTCCTATGGTTTTCATCAAAAAGCTGCCAGGCACAAGCTTACTTATGCTTTATGTTTATAATATTAGATAATTGAGATTAAGTTGGAGGACATGTGCTTGGGACATGATGTACACTACTGCATTCTCAAATAATATGAGTTCCTAATAAGTGACACAGGCCTGCAGAGTAATTATATTTGTGATCCACTGAGCCAAATGCAATCCAAGAGAATGAATTAAGCAAGGTGTTATCTAACTGGCTCAGCTCAATTTATGGAAACTTGTTTTTATATGGAAAATGCCATACCCCTGCCTCCTTCTCTTGCTTTCTCCTTGTACTCCACCTTACTTGCATTCTACAGCCCTTCCCAATTCCAAGTGACAACATGTGTGACACAGCACTAAAGCCACCCTGGCAAGTCCCATGACAGAAAGATTGGGGGGGGGGGGGCAGCCAGATGGTGTTTGCTGGGATTTTATCTTCCAATGGGGTTGCCAAACAGAAGGTGGGGAGGGACAACAGCAGATGAGGGTTAGTACCTGGACAGAAGCACAGTCAAGGGAGCAGCAGCTGAAGTGCAGAGAAGCGGGGACCATTTGGGGTCCAGGTGAATCCAGCGCCCTCTCTCCCTCTGCCAAAGTTGCATATATGGGGAAAAGAGATGGTCAAGTAGACCAATTACAGGAGCAAATAGGAGATCCAGGTATGTGGGCAACTCTCAGCTTTTGTGTGCATGTGCACACAAGAAAAGGCTGTGTTTTAATGAATTACCATTGTTACCGAGTTTTGATAATACCATTTATGGATTACCCCCATTACCACCTTTTTTTTTTCTTTTTTCTTTTGCTGTTGAACTTGGAATGCAAGGCAAGAGAGATTCCAGCACATCTGGCAGACAATTACCCAGAGACACAGACACACAGACACACATATATATAATAATGTGT